ATATAAAAGGAATCCAGTAGTTTGTGGGACCCATGAAGATGGGGGCACAAATATATGCTATCTCCTACAAGTCCCCCAGCTCTCTCACTTCTGCTTAATGTCTCCCAGATAGCCAAGTACCAATTTTCAGTACTCTCTAGAACTCCTGCCTAAAAGAACAAACTTCCCAGAGAATGTGCACCCTGCAAGGTAGGCATGGGTTGGGACAAACTGATGTGACCAAAGTCAAAGGCAGGTCTCCTGAGACCTCATCACCGACGCCGCTGTCCCTTCTATTGGGGTGTCTTAGGCTTTATTTTCCTTCTAGAGTTGCATGAGAAATAGCATGTCATATTCAGGTGAACAGGGTTCCCAGTTCACCTTAATTAAGCTGAAGTAATTTGCATTCACTCATGGCTGGTGAGTTGTTGATATCTTTCCTTAGGCTAAACAGAAGATACTCTGAGTCTGGGCTTCACTTTCAAATAAAAAGAAATTCAAATATTTACTTTCTGCTTAAGTCCAAGCTCCTACCCTGCATCTCTGTGCTAGATAGCATTTCCAGGGTGTGATTCACCTAAGACATTTCAGATAGCCACCTTAGGAGAAGACGAATCACACTCTAAATGCCTTTTTCTCTGCTGACTATAAAAGCCAGATTCAGATGCCTATATTAGTGTTGAAATGATGGGAGAGGATTTCAAGTCAGAGGAATACACATAGTGGTATTTGAACTTTGATTCCTCATAAACAGTTATGTTCGTGAGTTATTCAGGTGACGAGAGAGGACACAACACAGGAGAACCAATGTTATCTCTTGTCAGCCACTGATACCCTCACCTACTCAGTACTTGGATAATAAGATGCCATCTCCTTAAAGGGCTGGGCAGAGTTCAATGTGATTTTGAAATAAAGCTTTCCCCCAAAGCACTCAGACTCCAGCACTGTATACCTGGGCCACAGGAACTTTTATCCTTACGTCACCTGTGCCTGTATCAGCAGCCTCAAATAAGAAGCATATATATATATATATATATATATATATATATAAAAATATCTATCTCACCTTCTGACCAAATCTGCTTCCTCATCTCACATGTGCAGCTCTTTGGGGGTTACTCACCTGCATACAGTAAACAAATCTGGGACTACAATGTGGATACAGTGCAAAATTTATGCTGAGTACATATTGTTTTATTTAAACACTATTCAGTCCGTTTCATTTATTCATATGATTTGCAGGGCACCTGCCACGAGGGAGGGGCAGCTAAGAAGCATTCAAAGACCGAGCTCCACCTTTGTTAGCATTATTTTCTCTGTAGAAGAGATGAGGAACTGAGGCACAGGGCAAAGGCATGACTAGGACAAACAGAGAATCTGTGGCAGAGCTTGGCACAGATCCCAGATCTCATTCAGAGCTCCCCTGGCCTAACACAGGGCAGCTCTTCCTCTGAGGCAGCAGATCCCAGAGTATTAGTCATGACCTAGACAAGCGGGGTTGCAAACCCAACCAGATTTCAACTGCAGAAGCATGGTCACGAGTTGATAAATAGGGTGCCCAGTCAAAAAGTTTGGGAACAGCTATTTTTGTGGCTTGTTTACAGAACAAGGCCTTTAAAACTTCTACCACTATAATATCTTGAACAGACACTCTTGTACTGCAGTAATATTATATAATTATATTTAGAGGCTGGTATTGTGTTTTCTTTACTTTTCTTTGCATTTTTAGCACCTGCAATGCCCAAAGGAAATGGAGGCACTTTTAATCCTGGGTTAACTGGGATCCTTGTATCTAAACATATGTAACTGGCATTGAAAATGTATGCATTTCAAACTACGGGGCAAAAAATTCCTGATGACTATGAAAAAATAACTTCCTCTGGCTTTAAGTATGCTTCCAGCTCTCACCAGTGACCTTGATATGGATGGTGAGCAGCCTTATGGTATTTATGGTATTTATTACAGCACCATGAACAATGGAAAATAATTGTCCCCCAATATTTTTTGAACACACTAGTGAATTTTGATTTGATTATATTCACAACCTGTATTGTATTTACATTCAATGAACATTTGAGTGGTGGTGTTTTACATGTGCAAATGCTTGTGAAACTCTGATTTTAAACTTCAATGGTCACTGAAAGCCAGTTTCAAACCAGTCAGGAACAGAATGATGCGACTTACGTAACTGACGCATCACAAACTGGGACAATTCACAAATGCTTGTCTGACAAAAATTACTCACTGGGGAAAAAAACAAATCATTTCAACACACAAATACTACAAAGAATTTTACATCTTGGTCTAGAACAAGAAAAAGAGGAAGATTTAATCAGCGATAAGATGATCACTAATCAGTGATCAGCCTCACTTCCCTGAGTCTCAGTCTTCAGGCCCTGAGCCTGGGGAGAGTTAGGCACGTGATATTCTGCAGGCTGAGGAGTTCTTCAGAGACTGAAGTTCCTCAGAGCAGAGTTAAGCAGGGACACAAATCTTTGCAGAATCCCAGCCTTAGTCAATTCATGAAGACTAATCCCTTCCAGTCTTTAAAGAGCTCTGCAAGTGCAAAACATGTGGGAAACTTCTTCCCCAGCCACACATGGCACAGGCAGGATGCCAGTATCAGTTCCCATTAAGCACAGAGGTTAGAAGGGTACATGACCATGCTCTTTGCCGAGCGATCAATGTAGCTGACAGCTCCCTGGGGGGCTGTGCCCTTCGTGCTGCTGCACTGCCCATCGACCAGCACACAGATCAGGGTGCATCTGCCCCTCTCCTTCCCCTCTGCCTAGCCACAGGCATTCAAACTGCATTTGCTCTGCAGAGTGAATGCCTGATCGCACCTCCAGTCAACCAGCACAGCTCCTGTTGCTTCAAGGGATGAGGTCTTACGTTCTCATCCTGTCTCCCTGCTACCTAGACAAGCTTAGACCATGCTTTCCGAATCCTCCACATAGCAGGGAATTCTGTAAACATCTCCCCAGTCACTGTGACTGGATGGACTGAGGATTTTTCTCCCTGCTCTCTTGACTCCTCACTGCACAGGGGGAATACCAGGTGGATCTTCTCCCGGTACCAGAATAGTGATAAAGCCCTCTGAGTCATTTCATGTACTCAGTGAGGCATGGGCTTCTCAAGGACATGTTGTCAGCTGGGTAGAAGGGAGTTAGTGAATGCACCACTGGCTTGGAAAGAGGCTCCCATTTGCTTCCATCTTGTGTACAGATCCTGAGCTGAATGTAACAGGAACCAAAAATAGGGTCCTGTTTCTGTTGATACCTTTTATGAACTGCCGTTCCCTAACTTTAGTCCTCTAGAATAATCCCTCTACTTTCAGAGAGGGTCTTGGCAGAATGCAGTAATCTTGACTTTTCTGAAGTCACATGCTGTTACACAGCTAAGAGCACTGTTCCTTCTGGATGGTGCACATTTCAGGTGAAGGTGAAGAAATGCCTTATTTATGTAGACAGGGATTTCCGATTCCAGTTTCAGCAGGGTGCACATAACTCCCTTAGGCCCTCTTGGGAAATTCCAGCCAAAGAGTGTTGGGTACAATGGGGTTGAAAGTGCTGTGAAGACGCTATTTTACAATAGTAGAGGATGTAAAGTTGATTGCCAGGGAAACAAGGGTAGGGCTAGGATTTTCACTGTACAACTCTGAAGGTTTCTGCCTTTTACATCACATAGGGACTGATGTTGTCTCAGGTCAGCAGAATGGCAAAAGGAGGGGAGGACAATGCCAGAGCTCTGCACCTAAGGGCCTGTTATTCCAGTTGCTCTTGTCACCTTCTGACCTTATGTTGACATATTTCAGCTGTCTGTGGAAGAGAATTTCTCCTAGGGGAAGAAGCATGTGATATTCTTCATGCTGGTTCAGAAATTTCCATGAATTTTAGTTACATGTGCAGCGGCACACAGAGCAAAAGACAAGCAGCACAGGATGCTCTGCCCAGGAAGCTGAGCAGCACTGACCACATAAAGCTGAAGAATTTGAGATGAAGTCAAGCTGGCCCATCCCTGGTTGTGCCTGACATTACATTTTCTTAGCGGTTTGTACAGTCTAATTTAAATAACCCAAGTGATGGGACTACTGCCACTTACACTAGGGCCTCATTAGTGTGGGCTTTGCCAAACTCTACATATTTAGCTCATAACCTTTTCCTCAGGGGTCATACTTTCTGATTTGCAGCAGGTAATGAGATGCACAGAATACAATGTTCCTGGCATGAAAAGCCCCAGAGGCACTGCACCCCTTGCTGCGATGCCAGGTTTTTCCCTACCTCCCTCACCCCATTATCCTCCTCGCCTTCTGCATTGTACTCAGACCTGCAGTGACCTTTTTGATTCTGAAAGGCAATGAAAATGCATGCAGTCTTAAGAGATGTATAATAAGAAGCTAAAGAAGTTAGACTGACATGCTTGGTCCTCAGCTCTGCAAAGACTTCTTGTGTGACCTTGCATAAGTCATTTAATCTCTCTGTGCTAAATGTCTCTGGTTGTGACCAAGGAACATTATCCTGATCTTCTCTAGTTTCTAACACGGATGTCTGCAGCACAGGGTATGTCTCCCACAGGACAGGAGAGCATCCTGGGTTCGGTCAGTATGAACTATAAAATCCAATAATACTCTTTGGTTAATTGTGCTTACTTTGAGCTGTGGGCAGTTAGGTTTTCATCAATTGTGTATTTACACATTCTGAGCTAAAATTAAAAATCCAGTGAATTCACCAGCATGCCCCTGATGGCCTCAGACTGCAGATCTTGGCTCTTCATAAAGACTCTTGGAAATAAATGGAAGCAGGGGCCAGCAGAAATGTGTATGTGTGAGAGAAAGAGAGAGAAGGATGTGAATTTTACTGATTGTGAATGGGGCTCCTTGTAAGAGCTGAAGTCAGGCAAGGAGAGATAGGCTGGGATCTCCTCCAGTTCACAACTCCAGCAAAGGAACTATGGACCAAGCCTGGAGATGGGGCGCCAGAGCAGCAGGTAATGGGAAGGAGACCCTCACACCTTCTACTCACCAATTCTGTCCAGCCTGTCAAGAGCCACGGTTTCAAAAGCTCGCCGCATCATGGGATACTCTTCCAGCACCTCATTGAAGTTGTCCACTGAGAGGGAGTAGAGCCGACAGTAGGTATCAGCTCGCACGCTGGCTGTGCGCCGGCCACGGGTCAGCAGGCAAATTTCTGGAATGAAAGACCCAGCCTGAGAACATGGGATAGACACCATCAGCCCTGCGGTACAAGACCTGGCACTGTCACTCGCAGGCAGTCCTGCCTCCCACCCAGACTCCTCTCTAACTGGACTCTACCTGCTCTCCTGCTGAAAACATAAACTGTGGTAATATTCTGCATATGCAGAAACATTTAAAAATACCAAGGGGCTCAGTTGTGGCAGCTGCTACACACAATTGCACCTCAGGGATTGTGCTGATCTAATTAGCCAGACAAGTTTTGTTATGGTGGATTATCAAAGAAATGATTTGTGCATTCAGACTGGAGACACTGTCTTTCCCCAGCTCCTCATGGGCACTGGGAGCAGAAGGTGAAGTCGTGCTCTCTCTGAAGCTAATTCTCTCTCTAGATTTGTAGTAAAGGCTCTGTGCTGACCTGTGGCCTTGGTGCCTGGTAGTAATTTTGATCCCCACACCCAGAACATTTGTCGTTTAAAAGTTTTCAAAGTTTTTTGTAGATATGCCACAAGCTTACAGATTGTCAGAGGAAGCCAAGTTAGTGGCACTTACTAACTCTTGGTGTATTTACACTGCAGTCTACTGCAATCTACTCCTAGGAGGATGCTCAGCTGGTTACAGAACAGAAAGTCCTCAACTCTACCATAAATGCCTGACTCGGGCACAGACACACCTTGAACACTCAGTGGAGAGCTCCTGAGTCCTGCTTTTCCACTGATTACACACAGAGTATGGGCAGCTAAGCCAGGAACTTAAAGACAGATGGTGTGACTTAAAGACTGCCAGTACTCTTCTCTGTGCTCTATGCTGGGTGTCAGTCCAGCAGCACCATGCTCAGGATTCATTCTGGGTCTACCCCAAAGCACTGGTATAGCAGCACTACAAGGTTATAAGTGAATTATGAGGCTGCTTTCCTAAGGAAATGATGCTTATGAGACCATGCCACGTGTGTGAGGAGGTGTGTGTATGGAATGTAAAACATAATGAATGTCACCACCAATTTTAATCAAATCTGTCAGAGTCAGGGTATCCTGAATCCAACCCTGTTAACTTCAAATCCCAGAAAACTGACCCAACTTGCTAGGGACATGCAAGATCCTTGTATGCTGGGCAGGTGCAGACAGATTGGTTCACAGGAGCTAAGAGTCTAAGAAGACTGTAGGAAATACATGGTAGGGATTTGTTAATAGAGGAAAGGCAGGCTTCTGCCCCCTCTCAGTAGGCCATTAATTGTGGTGCATTCAGTGCTCGTACTGAAACATGCATCTACCAGAGAACTGTCTGCCTTGGGCTGTCAGTGAGGTCTCTCCGGGGCCCTGATAGGAGAGGTGTCTGTGTTACTCCTAAGAGCAATATCCTAAATCTTGTTTTATAGTCTTTTCTGAGCTCATGCTAGTTTCACTGTTCCGGAGCTCTGCTGCTGATACATTATGCCTGCCTGCTGACCTTCATGACATTTTGCTGAGCCACAGGCTGGGGAGATGATGGACTACGTTTTTTCCTCCGTGTTTATACTGTACCATGTATGATAGATGCCAGACGGTAAGACTAGGCAATACTATAAAAGTGCTTGGAGAACTGAGAATGCTTCATTTTTTTTCTTTAGGATCTCAGCTTCACAGATCTGTCTGTTTGCTTGGGGCAAAAAGAAATGAACCTACAAGAACTAAGTTTCCCTTCCCCCTTTTGTTATTATTTATTATCTAGACTCCTCCACTGCCCATGAGTCCCAGTCACCTCCCACTGCACAATTTACTATATGAAAAGCTGCAAGACGGGGAAGATGAACAGAGATGGAGGATGGAGGAGGAGATACTCCATCCCTGTGGTGGATGCCATCCCTGCGCACCCAGAGCAAGTTAAGGAATGTATGAGCGATAGCAGTGGGCACTGCTGTGGGTGATTGACTAACACACACCTCCAAAGTAGGAGCCATCTGCCAGCTTGGTCTCCTTGTTGCCTTTGGTGAGGACGCTCACCACCCCATGCTGGATGAAGTACATCTTCTTGCCAATGGTGCCCTCCCGGATGATGTAATCCCCTGGCTGAAACACTTCAAACCGCAACTTGGTCAACATGGATGTCACAAAGTTGGGATCTGCATTGGCAAAGAGGGGCATGGAGGCAACCAGCTTCCGGCAGTTGAAGTTTATGATTTCCTGATCATGATGAGATGCAAAATAGAGAGAGAGAAAGAGAGGGAGGGAGGGAGAGAGAGGGGAGAAAACATGGGACAGGGAGAAGAAGAGACACACACGTTTAGTCAACATCTGATAACCTATGAAGATCTCCCACTTGACCTGTACATTACAAAGTGGGGAAAAAAAATTGCAGTTCCCTTAGTCTGGGTCCCCCTGTGGAGGCTGGAATGGGCTCTGCATGCTCAGAGCATGTAGCAGTGCGAGCTGAAGCTGACAGACTGACACCATGCTTCACAGCTTTCATTCATATGCTTTCTCTCTGAGCAGGGACAATACCCCCCCAACCTCTCAAATACACACAATATACCTCTTTCTGCAGGAAACCTTGAATTGTGAGAAGTGCACAGCACTGGTGAAACGCTCTATGAAAAAGCCCACGGCTCCTCTCTGGGAAAATGTTGTAACTCCCCTTGGCAGCCCTATGTTCTCTGTTGCCCTTGCTTGTCAGTGAGATATTAAACAGCACAAATGTGCCAAGGCCTCGGAGAAAGAATCATCCTGGGCAGATGGGGACAGCGTCAAGAGAGGGGAGGAGAGGTGCCCAACAGTCACTGTGGTATGGGCTGGATCATCAACCTCAGATGAAGAAAACCCAATTGAGCTGTTCAGCTGTCATACAGCAGACAGGGACTGTGCCTCCTCCTGTGGCTTGGTGTCACTCAGAGGGTATGACAGCGCTTTCCACTGCACAGGAGCTGCTCTGTGCCATGTCAGCCCAGAAAGAGGCAGAAAGTGATACTGAGTAAATCACCTCAGCACAATGCTCTCCAGCCAAGCAGGGAAGGAGCATCTGGATGACTGGAACAGGAAGAAAGAGGGCTGAGGAAGCATCTGTCTCCTCCTCACTGGGGTTCTTTTCAGGGTTGCCCTTTGAGACAGCCCTTTGGAAGAACTAGTTTTAAAATAAGGCTGGTAGATTCTCAGCTCTTCTCTCTTCTATGGAGGTACATTATTGGGGGGAGGAAGACAGAATAAAGACCACTTCTAGTGCTTGTGGGGAACATACTGGAGGCATATACTAGGGAGAACGTGCATTGCTAGGCTTCAGCTAGGGAAGGGGCTTTTCTGTGAAGACTTTTTTGAATTGTGGGCCCTTGTAGAAGGCTCCTCCTTCCTTTGACTCTACACGCTGTTACAGCTGATGGATGGGGCACTGATGAGGCCAGCACACTGCATAAAGGTTTATATAAATACATGAGATACAGCTTAATATTAGGGAGGACCAGGTGGGAGCGCCCTGAGATGCTGTCGAGGCAGCAGGGCATGTTTGTGTGGGGACAGAAGGGGGCTTGCAGGAGTGTGAGGTAATAGTGAGGCACTTTCCAGAGTGCTGTCCTGCAGGGGCTCTTGGGAAAGGGGATGACATTGTCAGACATTGCCATGGTCTCAGAAGGTGCCAAGATGTATCTATTCACATGCTGAGTGGGTGGCAGGGCCAGCACATTGCCCCCCACATTGCCTGTATGTCAGACATCACTTGTGCTGCAGCAGTTACCAGACTCAGGCAGGACTCCTGCAAATGACAAGGGCCTGGGTGTCTCTCTCCACGGCAGTGACTTCTGCCATGACCAAGAATACCAGCCATACACCAATGGCTAGGACCGTCACTCCCTCTGAATGAAACTGTCTCCAACAGAGGCATAGCCAAGCTGTGCATCATGTTCTTCTTGGCCTTGCCCTCACAGAAAGTTAGGCACAGCACGGGAGCAGGTACAGGCCCAAGCAAAACAGGGCCTTTGAGGCTGCTCAGACATGTGGATGTGCTGTCTCTGCTGGGCATGACACCAGAGCACACACACAGCCAGTGCTCACAGGAAAGCTGGCCTCCCACCACTCCAATCATTTGATGGTGCCCTCTGCAAAGCACTGGGAGAGGACACTGCACATCGGGGACTCCACAGCTGCCAAAGATGACAGGAATATGCATTTCCCAGTCACTGCTCCCTCCTTACCTCTCGGAGGGGCTCACTCAGCTCTCCCAGGATGCTCTCCTCATCGAACATCTTCCCCTGGTAGCGGTGCTCGTAGTAATCATGGATGCGCTGCCGCATGTCTGCGGGGAGCTTGTGGAAGGACATATACTGTTCCACTTGTTTGTACTGTGCAGGGGAGAGAGGAAGAGAAGGAGTTACCAGGACATGCGACAAGTGGCACCCGCTCATGGACAAGCACATGCTAGACCACAGTCATACCTGCTTGTTTCACACCAAGCCAGGTCCAGGCAGATAAATCCGGTGCAGGAGAGAGCAACTGTCTGAACACATGGGGAGTTTGCAGACATCTTTGTTATAGTCCCCAAATGGCTGCCTTATGTTTTAACCTTTAAATTTATCCTCAGCCAGTTACACTGCAGAGATAACTCCTCAGTGCCTGGGTGCCGAGCAGACAGACACCTGTTCTCCCCTACACACACAGCAAAACCTGGGACCAGAGATGAGTAAGAAGTGCCCAGCTGGGAAACTCCTCACAGCAAATATTGCTGAGCAAAGACTGTCCAAACCCTGTGCAGAATGAGAGCAAGGAAAGTACAACGTGCCCCCAACAGAAGGTTTTTCCATGGCACACAGCAGAATGGTGGTCAGGGTGTATGACCTGGTAGCCTGGCTCTACTCCGGTAAGTGATGCACAGCACCTCGAGGCCTCAGCCGAGCACAGGAACCCACTGTACCAGGGGCTGTGAAAAACAGGAGAGTACAGCTCTGCCTTGGATGTTCACAGTCACAGACAAACTGAAGGATGCACAAAGACAGAAATCTGAGTTGTTTGGTTGAAGCTGCAGTGGCCTGCTTTTCCTGTCTGTCCCGCTATGATGGCACCTTTACCTTCCCACCTAGGGCTGCACAGGTCCTGATTTTCTTCACCTTTTGCTGGGTCTCTATTGCCCCATGCACTTGTGCTATCTAACCTGTCCATATTTTTACCTAATGATTTGCATTTCCATCATGTCACTTAGAGTGGAATACAAGGGCACACTCTGACTGATGCCAGAGCACTATCTGGGGATGAATGGTGCTTTCTATGAATAAATGACACTTCCTCAAGGGCACAGGACTGTAAATGGGTTCACTTGCCTTAAAGGTGCTGCAGGGACAAGGTCTGTGCGTTGCAATGGTCATGCTCCCTCCAACTGGCAGACAGCACAGAATATGATCCTGAGTGTGTACCACACTAAATAATGCTGACAAAAAGGACCCTTTTGTCTGGCTTTGCCACCCCTCTTTTCCCTCTTCTTCCCAATAAATCTGTCCCTGAATGCCTCTTTACTGCAGCTTGTGCCGAAGAGCCTAATTACCAAACTTCTGCTCATTACAGACCTCTCCTGCACACATCAGTGTCACTCTGCTCTCAGCACAGTCTGTGCTGGCACTGCCTTGCATGCTAACAACTTGATCTGCACCAGAGAGGAGAAGGAATTACTCTAAGAAGCCAAGGTGGCAGAGGGGACACTCGGGGTTTCCTGGCGTTTCCAGAGCTTTTTGTCTGTAGCTAGCAGCAGAGGAGCTGGCTGTAAATATTCATGATCACTACAGCATGATCAAAGTCAAGCGAGTCACCACCTCCCCACAGGGAGCCAGGTAGGGAATTGGCAATGAACGCTGCACTTTATTATTTGGTTTGCTGAAGTTCTGTAGAGCCTGGCAGGACACTGTGTCAGGCAGCACTATGCTGGGTGCTGCACAGTCTGCAGCTCGTGCATGAGGGAGATAAAGGGAGCAGAAACCAGCATCTCACATGCGGACATCTCACTGGTCTGAGCCTGCTGAGAATTCTGCAGGTTATGCTCTTAAATGCAGAAAGTTTAAGGGCTTGGCTCAGATGCCTAAAAGTAGGTGTCTACTGCTGCTGGAGATGCACTGCAGCATTTGAGACATCCGTGGGACCCGGCAAATCAGACATAGGACATGCATGACACTCATTGTGGAAAGGGAAAGCATTAGGAACTGGTTTTTGCTGACTCAGGTTAATTAAATTTGTCCTAAATCCACAAGTAGTTCTGCTTGTTTTAATGCTGCTTTTTTGTTGAATAAATTATTTGCCAAAACCAGCACCTTATACTCTCAGTTTTAGCCCATGGTCTTGAATTGGACCAATGACCAGTGTCACAAGACGCCTCTCATCACCTACTGCCCGCCACCTGCCCGCTACCCCTCTCCTCTCCACCATAAGCACTTGTTATCAATCTTCAACTTACCTTTGATTCTCAGGAAAAACACCCCCAGCTTCTCAGATTCACAAGCACAGTTTGGATGAGGCGACTCAGACTCTTTGCTTATTCACTACTGTACATGGATTTATTGCTTTGTAACAAAGAGCAATAAATTACTGTTCTGCAAAGTCCCTAGGGCTTGTCAGATTCTCCTAAAATCACTGTCCCTAGATAAGGCTTAGAGTAAAACCAGGATAAATTTACTTCACCAGAAAAAAAGGTTCTGCTTCTAATTACAAATTAAAAATACAGTTATAAAAGAAAACCTAAAATAAGAAACCGTAATTCCCTGTCACATTTAACATCTTGGCTTTCCTGTCTTTGCTAGTGCTACCTCCTCTCACCCATGTCAGCTGGAGAGTTTCAGGGGCTCTTAACACTCCCTTTCACAGAGATGGAGTCTGCAGAGGTGCTCAGAAACAAAAGCATAAGCCCCTCCGCTCTACATTCAATAAATTGAAGATCCATGGGGGGGTTTTACCCTTTCCCTTGGAGCTGCTCAGCCAGGCTGAAGGCCACCACTCTTGCAGTGCCTACATCAATAGCTACTAACAAAAAGGCCACTAAAACATGGCATGAGGGAGGGCCTTTCCAAGTAGTGGGGTGTACATGACTCTTCTCAGCTCTAAGCTCTACACAGATCACTCCTGAGGTCACCAGCAACACTCAGTGATGGGACAAAGCAAAGGGGTAAGGGTAATCCTGTAGTGAACATCAACAGCAGAGTGTGTGGGGATTAAAGGCTTTGCCTGATAACCCTGAATTTACAGGTCTTCATTTTCTGACTGAAGCCCTGACACCATGCAGATCTGGCACTCACTAAAGCCACTTCATGCCCCCTTGAGTTGGCACCCCTTTGAGTTAGGCCAGGCCTAACCTGACAGCCCTCTTTTGCCTCCTTTCTCCCTTGTACTTTGTTCAGTCTTCCTACTTGTCTCCATGTCCTCAGTCTGACCTGTGCTCAGAGGAACGTGCATAGATTAGTGGCCTCTCTGAGTTCAACTAAAAAGACTCATTTAGCAATTATTTAAATCTCTCGGAAGACAATCAAGTCCATTTTAAATCCTAACTCATTTTCTTAAGTCTGTTTTTCCTCAAAGAAGCCCTTGAAGGAGGTATTAATATATCAAAAGGAAACCATTTAGCTGAGTATTTTTCCTTCTATAACTGGCCACTTTCCCTAGCTGTCTCACCACTCCCCTCCCCTTCTACTAAAGCTCAGATCACTCACAGTCCAAAGATAACTAAATATTTTTAACTCCTTCCATGCCCTCAATCTCTATCATGAATCCTCCTCTCTCTGGTAGTAAATCACTGGCTAAAAAGGACTATTTCCTTGCTCTACTTCTGAATATAAAAAAGATCCTGCATCTGAGAAGAGCTGCTCCCATCCCAGTCCTGGCATTGACACCTCTTCAAGTCCTCTTTTAGTCTACACACATCACTCTTCAGAGCTTCAGAGAAATTCCATTTCCTGAAGAAATCCCATTTTTGCATCTCAGTACACACACATTCGCAGTACGGCTACCAACACAAGCACACACACAACCTAATGTAATGAAAGCACTTGGGACGCTTGTCTCCTTCTTGCCAAAGATAAATATACATTTCCTACACAGAGCTGTTGTACTGCTTGCATCCTTCCAGAAATAGGCTAAAATAACCATGGGACAGAGTTTAATCTCAGTCACAGTTGCCCACATCTGGACTCTATGGAAGTCAACAGAGATGCACTTCTGTAAGAAAAAGGATAATCAAGCAGAGTAATGCATTTTCAATTAAGTGAAAAATTATGATGCTCTGACAGTATTTTGAATGCTTGGTAGCATATATCCTGTTGGATTGGATTAAGATACACATAAGCAGCCACGATGTACAACATTGTGGCTCTCTCAAGTGGATTAGCGTTTCATAGGGGTAAAGATCAAGTCATGAGATTCACCAGATGGAATGTCTGGACGGGACACAGCTGCACCTTCCTTTTATTTTCTCTCATCTATGATTAGGAGCAAAACAGTGCAGCTCCCCAGGATTTAGTCATCATCGAAACCAATAAATGCCAAGTTAACAGAATCATCTAGGTTGGAAAAGACCTTGAAGATCACCTAGTCCAACCCTTAACCTAAGTTCCATATTTTGTCTTTTAAGCTGTTCATATTTCCATTCTCAGGATTTGTTCTATGACCAGATCTACATCTCGCTCAAAATGATGAAGACACACATTCTTATGGAGTCAAATGACTCCAGGAGTGAGAGGTTTAAGGGAAGAAAAGTGAACTTTTGTAACAAAATAAAATGATGCCGACACTTCTGGTGCAATCTTTGTTGGTCTCTGTTTAGTACCAGTCCTTGCTTATATAATTTTGCTCTTCCCTCCTCCTGAAATTTTGCTGAGAACTGTAACTGGTGCAGGCTATGACAGTTTATCCAGAGTCTGCCAACACTTATGAACACAGTTAGCTCTACACACATACTCATGCTCATGAGCACTGTCCTGCTGTTTTCCAGCAAGAATATAGACATTCATAAAATTAAACGTGCACAGGGCCGTCTTCTCCATAGCAATAGGGAAGTGATTGAGAGGAGCTGTATTCAGGCACATGCTGTCCCTTCCATATCGAGGATGGGCCTACAGATGAGGCTAAAGCAGGAGCTGGATTCCTTCACAGAGGGAACCAAAGAAAACTCTAAAAGAACTAGAAAGTGGAAAGAGCTGACGTGTCTGCCTGACAGGAGTGGTAGCAGGTGGGGATCAGAGTGCCGTACAGGCAAATTGTAGCAGGTTGTATAGGAACTGGTGGTTATTTCAATTCTAATTGAACCTGAACACCTCAGACCACATCTAGCACAGCACCAAACATTATCAGTGCTATTTCTGCTTCCTGATTAATG